AAAGCTGACTTCAGTAGATCTCTTATCATAAGTCAACTTCATCGAATCAGCAGACGTTTTCAAGTTTGTACGCACTTGATGGTGAATATCATCCATCCTTTCCGATAACACTTTCACAAACTCTGACACATTTTCAGGCAACTCTTCATAAGGTGGGCGTCCTTTATGCTTGGGTCCCCTTTTAGCACTACATGTACTGCATGTTCTGCACCATTCTTCCACATCTTGCATCATACCTATCCAGTAAAATCTCTATTGTAGGTGAATCAATATTTTCTTAACTCCAAGATGTTCTCCTGTTAAACTATCATGGGATTGACGCAGCATAACTTCCCGTAACTTCCTCGATATAACTGTTTGCCTAGTCGTCACTTTCCCATCTGCAGTTTCCCATCTCTGGAGAAAAATATCATCTTCAAGCTTCAACTGGTCCCATTGTGCCCAATAATTCTTTGTCACAGGGCTTAGACTAGACACCTTCTCCCAAGCAGCGCGCAAAACACTTGCTTTTAGAAAATCAATTATTGGCTTCAAATCATGATCTTTCTCCTGCTCTGCTTTAATATCTATACCTGGTTCCACTTCACCATCATCAACTTCTTCAGTCACTTTGACTTCAGCCTGATGGCACCTAATTAGTTCAACCTCTCTTTTAACAGTTACCGGACATTCGCCTTTGTTGTTCCCAAACGTCATTTTATCAAAATTAATTACAAACTTCCTCGGTAGTAAGTAGTCCAATCCTAATATGCATTCGTCTTCAATGTCAGCCAAGTATACTTTGTGTCTGTCCTTTATGCCCATGAGCTCAATAGTTATCCACACTGGTCCCCACAACATTGGAGAATGTCCTGTCACACCACAAAGCTTCTGTATGGATTCTGGTACTCCTTCGTGATCTAACACCTTGATGCTCATAAGGGTTTGCTGAGACGCAGAATCTATGACAAAGTTGCACTTTTGGCCATCCAGCTTTCCTGTCACATAGACACTGTGTGTGCTTGGCATTTTACACCTAGCTGTTGGGACTTTCATGATGGGGGTTGGTGAGTGTCCCTCAACACCAACCACTACTGGTCTTCTTGAGACTGACTCGTTGGTAATATTCTTCTTACACTGGCTCCTCATATGTTCTTGCTTTCCACAGTTCCAACAACCTTTCTGGGTAGCAGCCTTTCCTGTCATGCCATCTTTTCTGTGTTGAAGTTTCCAGCATTGAGCTCTCTTGTGCCCAGGTTTGTTACAGTGCCAGGAAAGTCCCTCAAACCTCTCTGAAAGTTGACCTTTTCTGGCCTTGAATCCTAACGACTGTACCAACCTTGGTACCTCTGTGCTGGACTTAATGTAGGATTCAAATTCAAGAGCTCTGGCCATTGTATCCTGCGTGGTAGAGGGGTGTGCTTGCTTCACTTGTATCTTTAGTTGTGAACTGTCCAAGGCATCTACAAACTGATCCCTCAGCAACAACTTGAGGAGATCGGGTGGTGCATTTGGGTAGGCCTTGTGTGCCATGCTTTCCAAGTCCTGAGCCAGCTCTTGCAAGCTCTCCCCTTTAGCACGGACTCTCATACTAAACCTAGCCCTGTAAACTTCTGACTGA